GCGTGCTCAGGGAGGGGTGGGCAGGGGTTGACACACTCAGCTACCAGTGGGATCAGGAGGGACCTCAGAGGTTTACACATCGGCACAGGAAGGGCCGTGTCTGGGTGCCACCAACATGCCCATCAGGCAGGGCCTCCACAGACCCTGACACCAAATCGGCACAAAAGCCCTACCTACCAGCAGGACAGGGTTTTAAAGCTCAGACCAAACAACAAAAGCAAGTCCTCTGCTGTCCAGTCCCGTCCCACTCACAGGGGCCTGAGAGGACAGAGCAGAAGGGTCCCCGCGGGTTTGTGAGACTGCGAATCTCCATGGGAATCTGAAAGGCTTCGTGTCTCTCCTGCGGAGTGAGTGGCTGGTGGGTTCCAACTGCTGACCTTTCAGTCCGCAGCCCCACACAGAACCACTGTGCCACCAGAGCCCAGGGGAGGCCACATGGCCAGCCCCAGTGCGTCTGAGCAAACCAGTCAAGCCAGACCAGTACCCCTTTGCAGCTCCTGGAAGAGGGAAGTACAGTCAGGTCCAAGGCAGAGGGTGACGGGGTGGGGCTCCAGCTTTGAGCCAGCCCCCCTCTTCTAATCAAGAACCTACGTGCAGATTGGCTGCTAATTATGCCCCACCTGGGGATGACTGTATGGCAAATTCACCACTTTCCAGAATCAGGGAAGCCGCCCACGCCAGGGGGAGCGCTCCGAGTTAGGGAGAGCAGCCAAAGGAATAAAAGGGACCCGAGGGTTCCCTTTGAATGATCTGAGCCCCGGAGAGAATGAAAAAAACAAAACAAAACAAAAAAAAACCCCTAAACAGCGCGTCTATAATTAACTCCCATTGTCTCTACCCCAAACTTAATAGTGCAATGAATGTTTTAGATGCTCCCTCCCTTCTCCCCTGAGACAGCTGAACTGGAGCCAAAGGCCACCCTCTCGGGGAACATCTGGGAACCTGGAGGGACAGGGGTTCCTGCTTGGCTGACGCAAGGTACTGGGGCGGGAGGTGGAGAGGTGGGAGTTATTGGGAGAGAAACACCCGGGTCAGATTCATGCTGCCGGGACCTGCGCCAACCATCAGTGTCTTGTTTTGGGTGTAGGGCACGAGGGTATGTATCTGTCTTCCAAGTCAAGGTCCCGAGTTCTGGGCCCAGGGGAATGGAGTTAAGACAGTGGGGAGCTCAGTGCACATCCACCTCCTCAGCCAGCAGGGGGCAGAAGATGGACATGGCCATTCCACCAGCTCTGTTGACCCCACTCTCCTGTCAGCTGGCCAGGAGTTCTTCTGACAAAGTCTTCTTCCCTTGCCTTTGCCTATGAGCCCCTGGGGTGCAGGGGGGTTAGACACTGGGAGGCTGACTGCCAGGTTTGAGCCCACCAGCTGCTCCCAGGGAGAAAGCGGCCCCTGTCAAGACCGCTGTTGTTGGTCAGCTGCCACAGACCCTATCTGTGCCCCGCAGAAGGACATGCCACACTGCCCTCACAGCTGCTCCTACGCCCGAGCCACGGTGGTTGCCACGGTGTCAATCCATCTGTGGAGGGCCTTCCTTCCCCACCCCACCCTCACCCCTCCACATCACCAAGCATGGTGTCCTTCTCCTTGGCCTGTAAGACCTGTCGAGACCTTGGCCTTAGCAACCCTGTGGAGCACTGCTTCTCTGTCCTGCAGGGTCACAGTGAGTCGGCGTGGGCTTGATGGCGGCGGGCTTGGGTTTAGCCTTCACCTGCCCTGCGTCCATGGCCCCTTCCCACCCACTCTTGGCTCAGCTGAGTCTCAGTCATGCTATTGTTCAGCTCAGTGGTCACCTCCTCAGGGGAAGCCCTCCCTGACCTCTGAGCTTGGTGGAGTCTTTAGTTCACGGTGTCGTGAACTTTTCCTGGGTGGCACTTGGCCCAAGGCGGCATCGCCTGTATTGGTGAGGGCCTCTCTGAGGTGATGGCCTGTGTGCTTTGTGAGGGCAGGTACCACCATGGCCACGCCAGAGCCTGGCAAGGGGCCTGCACTGGCAGACTGAACGAATGAAGGAGTCAGGCCGGGAGTCCGGCCCTGGACCACAGGCCCCGCTAGGCAGCCCTTCCCAAGCCTGGGTTTGGTCACTTCCTGACAGCAGCCGAAATGTGGCCCTGTAGGAATACTGGCACATGCTGCCCACACAGGTGTGGTTCTTGCCATCATTGTGACCTGGAGCTGCACCACTGCCTCCCGGGCAAGAGGGTACAGAGTCGGGGTGAAGACAGCGAGGCAGGCTGTGGCTCTATCAGCACCCCAAACTCTGAGGTGAAGGAGGTGCAATGGGGTGGGGACAGGGGGGATCCCATCATACAGGGGACCCAGAGGGGCTCCCATCAGTCCAGCCTCCCACCCCCCGACCCCGACCCCTGTGGCCAAAGACTCACTCTGCCAGCTTCTTGAAGCCAATGGCACGCCGCTTGGTGGGGGTCCCGTTGGTGCCCTTCCAGACATGGGTGTTCCAGGGGTCCGGCTAGGGGGAGAAGGACTGTCACTGGGTTGAAGGGACTGGGGGAAGCTGGGAGTCCTATCCCCAGTGCTGCAAACGTTTAAGCCCCCAGCCACTAGCTGGAAGGCTGGTAATCTGAATCCACCGGATGCCTCAGAAGCATGACCTGGTATTCTACTAGTGGAAGCCAGCGCCGTGGACGCCCTACGTGGCCGTGTAGCCCAGTTCTACTCCGGGTGTCGATTCGACAGGGCGGCAACACTGATGTTTCAGATGGGGGCGAGGCTGAAGACGCCTGAGAGCCTGTGGCTGCCCCTCCACCCTGGAAAGGGGGTGACTGCCAGCCATGACCACAGAGTGGGGAGGTCTACCTCTCTGCATTACCCTCCAGACCCACACTCAGCCCCCACTCTCCCCTGACTGGACACCTCTGCCCTCCTCCTTCCCTCCCTCAGTCCCCCCAGAGACTGCCCTACTCGGAAGCTCTGTGGCTCTGGGTCCAGCAGACACGCGGGTCCCCAAGCCTCAGCAGGAAAGGCCAGGCTACCGACTGTCTCTTTCACACATGTCATGCAGATCTTGCATGGAAAGGTCACCCTGGGGGTTGTTTTACGCGTTCACATGGTTTGTATCTCTGTTTCTCTCTCAGTCTCACTGTCTCCCTCTCTTTCCCTCCTCTTGAGAACCCTGGGCCAGGATGCTAGTTTATTAAAGTGCTGAGTCGTCTCCTGGGTTTTATGATGTTTAGCTGACCCCTGGTGGCCCCCCCAGCACACCACACCCACAGACAATGGAGTGACACCCTGCCTCCGCTAAGCCCAGGCAGCAAGGTCTGGTGACCTCCTTTACAAAATTAGCCAGGGAAAACCCCGCGGACGGCCATGGCCCGGTCTAGCCACTGGTCAGGCACTTTCCCAGGCACGCGTTTGCCTCCCAGGCCAGGCAACGGAGGCTCAGGGAGACAGTTTGCTGGCAGCTGCCTGGGTTGCA